GAACTCTGACAGCATTTGGTATTGCATTATTTAGGATTTTCATTTACACATAATTCAGTTTTCAGCAATAGTTAGCAGCATGTTGCAGTGGTTAAGTGGTAGGACTTTGGAGTAGAATCGCATGGATTTCTACCATAGCTCCAACTAAACTGTGTAACCTTGGGCATGTAACTTCACTCCTCTGTGCCTGTTTTCTCATTTTAAAAAAGGTAGGAGCTGCAGGATAATAGTACCTTCCTCACAGAGCTGATGTGAGGATTGCATAAGATAAGCTCAGTAACTGACAATGTGATCTATAAATGCTAGTTATTATTGGCATTATTCTTCAAGTCTAGAAGATGAACTTAGTTTTTTTTTAATATCTAGAATCCAGGGGATCAGTGGAAAGGGCAATAGAAAACGTTCAATCATAAGAGCAGCAAGGGAGTCAGACCCTAACAGGGCCCCATTTGTCTCTTAATGGACATAAACAGCAACTACATCATTCCTCCATAACTTGGGGCCAGCCACAAAAGAGACCTTCTCCTCTAAGATCTATTTATCTTGCAGCTTTCAAAAAGTCAAAGGATAACTTCCCATTGGCCTTAAAGGACTCAGAATTGAAAGTTAATTACCATGTCACATCAAATAAAATAAAAGCAAAATATACTGTTTATAAAAGAAGAATACCCAAACAAGTCACTCAGTAGGAAAGGCACTTGGAATTGTTTTTCCAGCTTTTCTACCAATCAGATCCAAGTACTTGATGCATTTTTATGGTGAAATGTCACTATACCCAATACTTTGTGAATACTACAACACAGGGATACTGTACCTCCATAATCAACTAGAGATGTATTTATTGAATATGCAGGGCACTTCTGCTCTATGCCAACTATGACTGGCAGACTAAATTCAGCCCATCTCATGTTTTTGTGTGGCAAGCAAGGTATGAATGATTCTCACAATTTTAAATGGTTGGAAGAACCACCTTCAAACACTGTTAGAGAATGCTGAATGGCTTTGGAAATTAACTTTTGATGCAGGCTTGATAATGTTTATTAATTAATTCAACCTAAAATTACAAGGCAAAACAATGCTTATATATGAAAAAAACTGTAGTAAAGTCATTTTGACAATATTGTTTGAATCACAAGTAATGTCAAGATGCTTTATCCACTTCCCATGCTGTCACAAGTCAATATGGAATATCCTTTGCACTTGCTTCAGGGTCCAAAAACTACTGCTGGAACTGTAGTCCGAATTCAGAAAATATATATGCTACAAATTTGTATAGAAATAGAGATCTTGCTTCTTATTTTAACTTTTATTTCATTTTATTTTGAGATGGAGTCTCACTCTGTCACTCAGGCTGGAATGGGTGTTTATAGATCACCACTTTATAGATCACCACTTTATATCCACTAGAATGCCTATAATCAAAAAGATAGATATTAATAAGTATCGGTAAAGATATGGAGAAATTTGGCTGGATGTGGTGGCTCACGCCTATAATCCCAGCATTTTGGAAGGCCAAGGTGGGCAGATCTCTTGAGGACAGGAGTTCCAGACCAGCCTGGCCAACATGGCAAAACCCTGTCTCTACTGAAAATACAAAAACTAGCCAGCGTGGAGGTACATGCCTGTAATCCCAGCTACTTGGGAAGCTGAGGCACAAGAATCACTAGAATCCAGGAGGCAGAGGTTGCAGTGGGCTGAGATCCTGCCACTGCACTCCAGCCTGGGCGACAGAGTGAGACTCTGTCTCCAAAAAAGAAAAAAAAAATAAGAAAAAAAATGTGGATAAATCTGAAATCTGAACCCTCGAACATTGCTTGCTGATGGGAAGGTAAAATAGTACAGCCACTTTTGTAAAGAGTCTGAAAGTTTCTCAAAAAGTTAAACAGAGTTACGATATGACCCAGCAATTCCACTCCTAGTTAAGTACCCAGAAGAAATAAATGAAATCTCAGCTGGACATGGTGGCTCACACCTGTAATCCCAGCATTTTGGGAGACCTAGGTGGTAGGATCACTTGAGCCCAGAAGTTTGAGATGAGCCTGGGCAACATAGTGAGACCCTGTAACTACAAAAAATCATAAATTGACTGAGTGTGTTGGTGCATGCCTGTAGTCCCAGCTGCTCCAGAGGCTGAGGTGACAGGATTACTTGAGCTAGGGAGGTGGAGGCTGCAGTGAGCCATGATCGTGCCACTGCTCTCCAGTCTGGGCAACAGAAGAAGACCCTGTCTCAATAAAAAATAAAATAGGCCCGGCACAGTGGTTCATGCCTGTAATCCCAGCACTTTGGGAGGATCACCTAAGGTCAGGAGTTGGAGACCAGCCTGGCCAATATGGCGAAACGCTGTCTCTACTAAAAATACAAAAATTAGCCAGGTGTGGTAGCATGCGCCTCAGGAGGCTGAGGCAGGAGAATCGCTTAAGACCAGGAGGCGAAGATTGCAGTGTGCCAAGATCGTGCCACTGCATTCCAGCCTGGGTGACAGGGCGAGACTCCGTTTCAAAATAAAATGAAATAAAAGTTAAAACAAGAAGCAAGATCTCTATTTCCATACAAATTTGCAGCATATATATTTTCTGATTTCAGACTACACTTCCAGCAGTAGTTTTTGGACCTTGAAGCAAGTGCAAAGGATATTCTATATTCCAAAATCCATTTAACTGTGTAATTGAGCAGCTTTCACCAAACTTTCAATTGGAAGTGATTAACCTGCCATACAATGCTAAAAGGCACTATTAAGAGAACAACAGAATTCTATTCCAAGCAATGAATATGCTCAATTAAAATCATATGTTTGTGTAACATTGATAATGTATGATGAGAATGTGGTACTTGACCTCTGCGGACTTCCTTCCAAACACATAATGCCAGTCTAAGCATAAAACTGAGGGTTTTTCCACAAAATGATTGACCAGTACTCCTTAAAACTATCAAGGTCACCAAAACAAAATAAGTCTGAGAAAGTGTCACAAGTCAGAAGAGGCTAAGGAGATACAATGACTAAATGTAATGTGGTATCCTGGATGGGACAGGATCTCTAGAGATAAACTAGTGAAACCTGAAAAAAACAAAAAAGCATGGAGTACAGTTAATAACAATATACCAATGTGGGCTTATTAGTTGTGACATATATAGCACAGCAATGTAAGATGTTAATGATAAGAGATTCAACAAATGGTGCTAGGACAATTTCTATATCCACATGCAAAATAAAGAACTTAGATTCTCACCTCACATCACAGAGAAAAAATGAACTCAAAATGAATCATAGACTTAAATGTAAGAGATGAAGTAATAAAGCTTTTAGAAGAAAACATTGGAGAAAATCACTGAGACCTTGCAATTAGGCAAAAACTTCTTAAGTACAATACCAAAAAAATGGTCCATGAAAGAAAAAAAATGATAAATTGGATGTCACCCAAATTCAAAACATTTTCACTTCAAAAGACACCATCAAGAAAAGAAAAAGGCAAGCAGCAGACTGGGAGAATATATGTGCATATCATATATCGCTCAGGGACTTGATCTAGAATATAGAAACCATCATTACAACTCAACACCAAAAAGACAACTCGATTTAAAAATGGACAAAAGATATAACAGACACTTCACTGAAGAAGATATATGAATGGCTAAGAAGCACATGAAAATATGCTCACCATATTATAAATTATAATTTATAAATTTATAAATTAAAACCACAATGAGACACCATTTCACACCCACTTAGAATGGCTATAATAAAAAACACAGTAAATAACAAATGGTGGCAAGGATGTGGAGAAACAGGAACTCTCATACATTGCTAATGGAAGTGCAAAATGTTGCTGCTATTTTGGAAAACAGTTGTGCAGTTTCTTAAGAAGTTAAACATATATTTTCCCTGTGATCCAGTAACTCCACCCTTAAGTATCTATCAAAGAGAAATGAAAAAAATATGTTCACACAAAGACTTACATACTAATCTTCTTAGCAGCACTAGTCATAGTAGCCAAAACTTGGAAACTGATGTATCTAATAGTGAGTAGATAGACAAAAATGTGCTATATCCATAAAATGGAATACTATTTGGCAATAAAAAAGTAAGGAAGTACTGATACATACTATGATATGGATGAATCTCAAAAATATTATGCTAAGTGAAAAAAATCAGACACAAAGACTGCACATTGTATGATTTCATTTATATAAAATGTCCAGAATAGACAAATTTATAGAAACAAAAAAGTAGATTAGTGGTTGTCTGGGGCTGGGAATGGGACAGAGGATTGATTAACTGTAAATAGGCATGAGGGAATCTTACTGGAGAGATCAAAAAGTTCTAAAATTGATTTATGGTGATGGTTGCCCCACTCCAGTAAAGTTACCAAAAATCATTTAATTATGCACTTGAAATCAGTGAATTTTATGATATGTAAAATGTACCTCATTTTGAGTGAGTGGTATACAGGAACTCTACTAACCTTGCAACTTTTCTATAAATCTAAAACTATTCTGAAATTTTTGAAAAAAATAATTTAAATAAAAATAAAAAAATGTATGTTTATGAATTGATATCAGTATTTGACAGTACCTATGTGTGTAAAATGACATTTTCAAAGATTAAATAGGTAAAAATCTCATAACAGATCAGCATTAACAGATGAACATTTAAAATCAATTTTGACAGTACGGAACACTAATTCTGAGCTCCACTTAAGCAAAATATTATCCCCTAAAAAGAATTATATTCTTCTCATTGGTAGTCCTCCTGTATTACAAAAAAAAAGTACTCAATTACTATTATATTTTGAATTTCATCAATAAAAATTTGTTGAAATTTGTTTTCTCTCGTCATAAAAGTACCAACAAAATATTCTTGATTTTGCCTTTTGACCTACAAAGCCTAGAATATTTACTATCTGGCTCTTTACAGAAAGTTTCCCAACTGCTATTCTACACTATAACAGGATAAACATAAACATAATCAATCTCTTTCTTGAATGTATTCTTATCATTACCTAGTTGTGGCATAATGTCCTCTGGATATGCCCTATAAAGGATCAGTCTTGCATTGCTTCTGCTATGGCACTATTTGGGATTTCTATAAAAAGAAACACTATTAGCTTAATAGTTGCAGCAAAGCCTTGACAACATAGTTAATATAGTGATATTAAAGTGCCAACACCACAGCCCGGTATCCTTAAGATGACCCTCATCAAGTTGTGATGTCACCAGGCTATGGACTCACCGAAGTCTCTTAGATATCAAGTGGCTCCCGTGGCATCACACCCTGCCTTTGGCATCACCCTGGCACATCACCTCAGTACGGTGCCATATGCTATCACTGCTGTGGCAGAACCCTGTCCAGACGCCACACCGCCGAGATGTCGGAGTAATTAACTCCCACTTCTTTCCACTCCCTGGGCGGTGGCAGGGAGGGGGAGGGTAGCCACCGTCACCGGTTCGAGCTCAGGAGGTAGTACTCAGCTCCAACCCTTGTCCCTTCCGCCTGCCACTGCAGGTCAGGAACCCCGAGGGACAGGACCTTTAGGCTCCCATAACTCTCTTGCCCTGCCCCCGAACCATTTCATATGGCCGACTCAACGACCCGCCAGCGACTACCCACCCCGGCTCTTTCACACGGTTCCACTCAAAGCCGCTCCCCATACCTGACTCCATTCTCCAGCTGTCATCCTGGGCCAATTCCACCGGCAACTTGAATACGGGCGGTCGCTAGGAACCCTGGGACTTGTAGTTCCGTACTGCTAGAGGCCAAGTCTGTGAGGGCCCCAAAGGCGCCTCCCTGCCCGGAACTGCTCTCAAACTGCAACTCCCAGAGGCGCCGTGCGATGGTAAAGGAAAAGGGAACGAGGAAGGCCGGTGATTGGTGAAGCTCTAACGGCTGTTTTGACTGGCAGCCGGAGCCGGCGAAGTGAGGCGGGCGTTGCTCGCGCGTCAAGTAGTTGCTGGGATAGCGAAATGGAGGGGTGTGTGTCTAACCTAATGGTCTGCAACCTGGCCTACAGCGGGAAGCTGGAAGAGTTGAAGGAGAGTATTCTGGCCGATAAATCCCTGGCTACTAGAACTGACCAGGTAAAGCAACGCTAGGTGTCTTCGCAGCTGGGGACGTCGGCGAAGCCCTACGTGGCTTTCGGGGCCTGGCCCTAGCGGAGGCCCGGTTTCTGAGAGGAGCAGAACCCCGCCCCTGCCGCCCCAAGCAGTCCCCCGGGGTCACCTCAGGACTCGCGATAGGCCTGCGGGGGCTAGCCCCGCAGACCTCAGATATTTTCCCGTTGGTCCGGAGCTCCACGCCCTGATTTTTGGATAGTTCTAGAACGTCTACCGCATTTCTCAGAAATTGCCAATCAGTGAAAAGGAACACTCTTTATATGGATTTATTTACCTTTACTAGTAACTGTATTCAGTAACACATGTGTAATTGAACTCCCCTTCCGTGCCAGGCAGTTTGCTAGGAGCTGGGGATACGGTGGAGTGGAAGATGCAGACAGTAAAATAAGCACAAAAACATGTCCGATTACAAATTGTGGTAAATACTCCGCAGAGAAGTTTACATGGTGCTTTCAGAACACGTTAATAGGAGAATCTGATGCTGAATATGGCTGTCATTAATTGGAAAAGTTTTTGCAAAGAAGAGAAGGTTAGACTTTGAAGCATGAGTGAGATTTCCATGGGGGAATGAGTGGACATTCTAAGCAGAGGCAGACAGAGGTTGAGAAGTGTTTCCTTCTGCCCCCCTGCTCACAGGACCCTCGTGCTTTCATCCTCAGTTTCTGGGATTCATGGTGCCCTCAGTAAGCCCACAAATATTTATAGATGGCCTTGGGTTTCGCAGGCAGTGTGCTAAGCACTAGTGAAACTGTCCTATACTTACAAATCTCCATTTCGTGTCTTTCAGGAGAAAATTAGAAATCAAGAGACTGTTGTCTCTTTTCTGGAACTTTATTACTCAACCTGAAAATGGCCTTACCTTTACCTAGTTTACTTCATTATGGTCTGGTGATATTTAAGGATTTAAATTTAAATGTAATAATTTATATTAAGATTTAATAACACTCCATTAGAAATTTAACCATTCTTCAAGTCAATGGCTTAAAAAGGGAAGGGAACTGTATCAAGAGACGTAAAAAACACGAAGAAATGCGATTTATGGATCTTGTTTGGTTCCTGATTTAAACAAACCAACTGCAAAAAGACATTTGGGAGACAGCTGGGGAAATCTGAATACAGACCGGATGTTAGACATTCTAAAGGAGTTAGTGTTAATTTTAGTAAGTGTAGTAATGGTCTCATAGTTATATAAGAAATACCTTTATTTTTTACATACTGAAAGACAAGCGTGAAAAATCATGATATTTAGGATTTGTTTTTGGAAAACTCAGCAAGGAAAAAACTAGATAAAGCAAATAGGGCAAGGTGTTTGTTGTTAATTCTAAGTAGTAGGCATGTGGGTTTCTATTCTATTCCATTTCTGTGTGTTTGAAATTTTTTGTAATAGAGTTTAAAATACCATTTTCTATTCTGTGGGGCTAAGAAATACAGCAGTCACTGCAAATAGGGATTCCCTTTGACAAATAATGACTACTATAGCTTATTTTTATTTTTATTTTTATGTATGTATTTATTTATTTATTTATTTGAGACAGTTTCACTCTTGTTGCCCAAGCTGGAGTGCAGTGGCGCGGTGTCGGCTCACTGCAACCTCTGCCTCCTGGGTTCAAGTGATTCCCCTGCCTCAGTCTCCCAAGTAGCTGGGATTACAGGTGCCTGCCACCACGCCTGACTAACTTTTGTGTTTTTAGTAGAGATGGAGTTTCACCATGTTGCCAGGCTGGTCTGGAACTCCTGACCTCCGGTGATCTGCCCACCTCGCCCTCCCAAAGTGCTGGGATTACAGGCATGAACCACCGCACCCGGCCATAGCTTATTATTTTTTATAAAAAGTAATTTTCTTGTTCTCTGTGTGTTGTGTTTTCTAAATTATATTTCTAATTTATTTATGGTTTTAAGTTATAGATAATTTCAACTAGTTTAATGAACATTTCTTCCCCCATTAGATTCATGTGTTCCTTCTACAACGTCTAACTTGAGGTCAGTGTGGTAGTAGAGATTTCAGAGTCAGAACTTCACTGACAGTTGTGTCCCAGCTTCACTATTTAGTATCCATGTGACCGTCCACAAGGTGCTTACCTGAGGAGTTTTAGTTTCTTCATCTGAAAAATGGAGATAATAAGCGCTGTGTAGAATGATAGGAATTACATGATACGATGCATGTAAAACTCCCAGCACAGTGCCTGACGTAAAAGTGCGTAAATAATGTAATAGTAAAACAACCAAAGATGTATTTCTGTCAAAGCACTGAAATCAGTTTCTTGCTCTACTACTTTCCTTGTCGTATTCTGCCCAGAATTACATATGTTCATCAATGTCATTCTCCCCATGTTACTTAAACTTTCATCTATCTTATACCAGCAAATAATATAGTTTAAGGTTACCTACCTGAGGATCCAGTGCTCTGCATTTCGTATTTTCAAACTATAGATTTGCCAGCACCAGTATTTTTTTTCTTGCTCTTTTCCCTTCTGTTTCTCTTCAAGAATGTTTCTATTACTGCTTCTCTGTAGGACAGGAGAACTGCATTGCACTGGGCATGCTCAGCTGGACATACAGAAATTGTTGAATTTTTGTTGCAACTTGGAGTGCCAGTGAATGATAAAGACGATGTGAGTACTTTGATAAAGTTGAGTTGATAAATTCCCAGTTATCTTTATACTCCAGACTGGTGTTTACTGAAGCCTGTGCATTAAGCTCATAAAGAAAATTGTAACCTTTGCAACTGGAAAGTTATAGCATGGCCCTTGTGATCAAGCATGAGACTCATGGTTGCATTATTTTACAGTGTTATGTTTGCCACTCATACTCTGTGATTTAAGGTAAACATACAGGAGAGGCTGAGGTGGGAGGATTGCTGGAGCCCAGTAGTTTGAGGCTGCGGTGAGCCATTGTACTCTATCCTGGGTGACAGACTGAGACCTTATCTCTAAAAATAAAAACAACAAAAATAAACGTACAGATCAGGGCTTCTTATGGTGAACCCTAAAAGACCATAAACTCTTTCTATTATGTTGGATTTTTTTGTTTTTTGGTGAATATGGCCTGAATAATGAGGACCTAGATAACTTTTTTGTTACATAAAGAGATTTATTCTAATGGTATGGTTATATTAGGATTAGATTTGTGAAGAGTAAGAATGGAACCTTTTTTGTAAGCAAATATTTTTTTACCTTTGTAAAACTCCTTGTTAACCCTGCCTAAATGTTAGCACTAATCCTTGTGTCTTTTTCCCCTGGTGTTTCTACTACCTGCTTCTTTTATAGGCAGGTTGGTCTCCTCTTCATATTGCGGCTTCTGCTGGCCGGGATGAGATTGTAAAAGCCCTTCTGGGAAAAGGTGCTCAAGTGAATGCTGTCAATCAAAATGGCTGTACTCCCCTACATTATGCAGCTTCCAAAAACAGGCATGAGGTATGGTTCCATCCCTAGGCTACTTCTGTTGAGTTCTAAAAGTGTATACAAACACAGATAGATCTCTGCATTGTTTTCTTCTTTCAACTCCATCTTTCCAGATCGCTGTCATGTTACTAGAAGGCGGGGCTAATCCAGATGCTAAGGACCATTATGAGGCTACAGCAATGCACCGGGCAGCAGCCAAGGGTAACTTGAAGATGATTCATATCCTTCTGTACTACAAAGCATCCACAAACATCCAAGACACTGAGGGTAACACTCCTCTGTAAGTGACAAGTAGCAGTCATTTGTATTCTACCTGACGTTAGCCCTCTTGCAATAATTCTTATACATCATTTCTTTTTTTATTCTGCTTATAGACGCAATACGTGTTAATGGCAAAAATGTTAAATTGCACAAAATGTAAAGATAAAAATTGCCTATTATTTTGCCACTCAGAAATAACTACTGATCACATTCTTGTGTATTTCCTCCTGGTCTTTTATATTCAGATGTGTATATTTTACACATACATATTTTTTAGCAAAATTGGGGTCATACTGTGTATGTAGTTTTAGCTCTTGTTCTTTTCACCTCAATAGTATATTATAAACATTTTCCAATGTCATTAAATATGTTTAAAACTTTTTTAATGGTTATGTACAATTCTGCTGTATAGATGTGCCATAATTTAATCATTTCTCTATTACTGTATATTTAAACTTTTTTGAGTTTTTCACTATTATAAATAATGGTACATTGAGCCAGGCATGATGGCTCATGTCTGTAATCCCAGCACTTTGTAAAGCCAAGGCGGGAGGATCACTTGAGGCCAGGAGTTCAAGACCAGCCTGGGCAACCAGCAAGACCCCCTGTATCTAGAAAAAATTAAACACTTAGCCAGGCATGGTGGCATGCACCTGTGGGACTAGCTACTCGGGAGATTGAGGTGGGAGGATTGCTTGAACCCAGGAGCTCCAGGTTACAGTGAGATGTGATCACACCACTGCACTCCAGCCTGGGTGGAGCAAGACCTTG